CTAACCAGCGCATAACGGCAGCACTGATATAACCGAGATATTATGTGTTCCTATTGGGTCACCCGTCATGAAAAACGAGAAAAAAATTAAACATGCTAGACTTTCTACGATTGTGTCGTGAAGTGTCGCAGGCTTGGTATCGATTGTCGTGAACTATAAAACGATTTAATCTTTTGTCACTACACCCAATTGTCGTTTATGACTCCGAACTTCAAGGAAATCGTGCCGAAATAGCATGATCTGAACGTTTTGAACATTTTGCGCGCTGCTTATTACGCTTTATTGGAACGTAAAATAGCATTCAGTGTGATCGACCCCTAACAAACGACGACTCGCCGTTTTTTGTGTCTAAACTGACAGTTGGAAGGGGCGTGGTTTAACTTGTCAGCCACACCCAATATATCAGACTGACGTCCCTGCTGAAAAATTCAGCTTAAACCAGCCTAGGCTGGTTGGCTGGTTTTAGCTGGTCAACCAGGGTGGTTTTAGAGGGGTTTTGGCCACTTCCAGGCTGGTTTCCAGCCATTTCCAGCCTGGTCTTAGCTGGTTAGGCTGGGAGATGACCAGCTAAAACCAGCTTGACCAGCCTAGCAGGCTGGGAGCCCAGCTAAAACCAGCTATGTCCAGCTTAAACCAGGCTGGTCAAGCTGGTTTTTGCTGGATTTAGCTGGTCATTTTTCAGCCTGACCAGCTAGGACCAGGCTGGAAATGGCCAAAACCCCTCTAAAACCAGCCTGGTCGACCAGCTAAAACCAGCCAACCAACCTAGGCTGGTTTAAGCTGGATTTTTTAGCAGGTATTCTGTGAATTTAACTGAAACCAAACAGGAATTTAATTTTAGACAGGCAAACTATTTTCTTAAATGGCATGCACAGATTAATTGTTCACCACAAAACTAGCAATGTGAGCTAACGTTAGCCAAACGTCTGCACATTCTAAATAGGGAAATCATATTAGCAGCCAACGAAATGGTGTTAATGTTGTTTTGAAGGCATTCTCAAATGTAATTTCAGACCGAATATTCTTAGTAGCGTGGTAAACACTACGGGGACCGCTAAAAGGAACGAATGTGCGAATATAAAACCAACTTTACCTCAACATTGTGAATAAGTTTACGCTCAAGAAAAGCTCGTCCGTACAAAGCTGCTCGCGCTAAACGCCTTCTTGTCCTGCGGAGCTTGAGCTGCAGACGAGCTGCCCTTCATCATCTCCTCCTCCTCCTCCTGCTGCTGCTGTTTCTTCCTCTTTTCCTCCTCCTCCATCTTCTTCTTGAACATCTCCATGAAGCTGCCGTCGTTGGCGAAGGCGTTGGCCGCTTTGGGCGCGCTGTGGGCCGGGCTGCTGCCGCCGGACTCGTCGCTGCTGCTGCTGGAGGTCTGGTGGTGGTGACGGTGTTTTTGATGGTGATGATGGTGGTGGTGATGATGGCGGTGATGTTTGTCGGATTTGCTCTGCTTTTTCTCCATTGTGTTTATGCTTTATTGTTATTATATCAGTAATGGAGACTAGTTTAACATTCGCGTCTTTTAAGTTGTTTTAGTTTATATTGTTCGCTGAATATATCGAGAATTACGCGTATTTTAAACGCGACGACGATGAGAATTAAACAAACAAATAATACGCGGGTTTGTTTTCACGGTTTGGTCGTACAGTCTCGCCGGTTTCACAACGAAACAAAAACGGCTTTAACGGCAAACAAAAAGCGCGCGAATGTCGCGCTTAGAATGAGTGTATGATTATAATCGAGTATCAAACGCAATTCTGAATAAATATGCAGGATTTATGGGGTTATTCCGATGTTTTTCGCACAGGTTTCTCGTATTTCAGCGTCGTTCCGCCATTTTGGATTTCATCTGCATTTTGTGTTGTTTGTGTGTTTAAGTGACGCGCCGGCGCCGCCTGCAGCCCGGCGGAAGAAATTCAGCGAATAAACTAAACTAAAGTGGTAAATAAAATCAGATTTAGCAAAGATAAGATTGTTCGGAAGCCATTTTTACCAATACTTGCTTGTAATTTCAGTATATTCGACTACATTCATACGTCAAGCAACTTAAAATGTATATGAATACAGTGTTTTGATTGTGGTGGTAATAATGGCGGTGATTTAGCATTCGCCTCCAAATTATCAGTATTTCTCCCTATTGCCATCAAATATTATCATATATATTCGATTTCTCAATTTAGAAAACAAAACCACAACGCTGTTAATATTATATTTCAGTATATTAATGAAACAACACTCCCTATTTCTATATTTTCACATTCTTTCTGGCTGCTTTAACATAAATATCTCATGTCAGAACAAATAAGTATACCTTAGGGCAAACATAAAACCATGAACTACATATCTAAGAATAAACATTATTATTTCTTTATCATTAACAGGGTTCAACGCTAAGGATTTTGTCAACTGGCCTGATCGGGCAAGTAGTTCCGATTTTTACTTGCCCTGCCAAAATTTTCACTGGCCCACCAAAAAAAGAGAAGAAGTTAATAGCTATATATATATATATATATATATATATATATATATATATATGTATATATATATATGTATATATATATATATATATGTATATGTGTATATATATATATATATATATATATATGTATATGTATGTATATATATATATATATATATATATATATATATATATATATATATATATATATATATATATATATATATACGGTACCGGTCACAAGTTTTATAATGTTTTTTAATGGTTTTTTTAAAGTAAAATTATTCAGTTCAAGGCTACATTTATTAAATGTAAAAAAAAAAAAAAAAAAAAAAAGTTCAATTGTTAAATATTTATTAATACTTATTGTATGTAGCTTCAAATAAAATTATTAATCCAGACATTGCTTTTATTACATTACCATTAATAACAATAACATTAATAATAATAACAACAATAATTAATGTTAGTGAATTCTTTAAAATCACTGGTCAAATTATTAAATTAAACGATAAACTACTGTTGAACAGTTATTTTATAGTGCAACATTTCACAATTTTGCTGTATTTATGATGAAATAAGTCCTTATTGTCGAGCCCTGATTAATATTTATTATTATAATTATGTGCCATAACAAAGAGCGACACTCTAGTGTAATTTGGGAAACAGCCACATGTTGGAATGAAAACTCCAGTAGAACAACAGCATATTATAAGTCCATAAAATAAACTATCAAAAGTGCTGATGATTGTGATAATAAGTGTTGTATTGTCATCTTTAAAGTTGTATCTCAGCTTTAATATGCTTTTTAAATAGATAAATAAAAAACAAAGCAGCTGCTTGCCATCGCAAAAGTAATGAAAACCAATGGACGGCCGATCACTTTCACTCCAAACTGGCGGAATCCAGGGCTGTTGCTGGGCGCTGCTGTTGCAATGGAACGTTCTATTGAGTGTCGCCTCTTGGTCATTCTAAGCTCTTTGGCCATAATCAGAAAGCATCACACAACTTACAAAGAATTCAATTCCAGTTCTTCACGTTTATTGCATTATTTATAATCCAAAAGGACGTACAATAGAGGAAAACACCCATAAACCCAACGCAAGTGTGATATCTCGTACCGATAAAGTCATTTATTGTAGTGCAAAGAGAAGGACAGTGATTTAATAAGTTATATACCGACCTCATCAGTCAGACACAAGAACAACAACGCCGTGATGAAACGCACAACTGAACATCAAAACCGTGAACAAACATTCAGAAACCAACCAAAAAACAAACAAAACAAAAACCGAACAGTTTTAAAGTGACCCAAAATATCTGAAGTGATGAGGCTGGGAATACAGTAGTGTTTCTGAACGTACAGCAGTGTCATTTAAAGAGACAGTCCACCCCAAAAAAATGAATATTTACTCACTATTTACTTGTTATCAAACCGATTTTTTCTGTCGAACAAAATAGAAGATACTTTGAAGAATGTTTGAAACCTCCAAGCATTGACTTCCTTACAAATATTATAGAAGTCAGTGGTTTTCAGCATTCCTCAAAGTATCTTCTGTGTTCAATTTAAGAAACAAACTAATTTAAGAAACAAACTTTTAAAAAAAGTTTCAAAACACTTAAATAGAGAGTAAACATTCATTTTTGAGGGGAACTGTCTCTTTAAGAGTAATAAATAGAGATTCAGTCCTTCAGCAGCAGACTTTGGTGACGTCAAGTAAAACATAATTAAAGCAGCAACAGTTTTCACATGCAAATGAACCACATTTACATAAAAATGACAAAAAGACGCACCTGATGTGCTGCGCTCCAGCATTAAGTTTGTTACCTAACATATAATCGAAGGCACGGTGTGTCTAAAGTGCGTTCACATTTGCCGTACCCTGATGAACACACACAAATCATTATAAAAACAACAACCCTCAAACACCATAAAATTAAACTCATTCATCTTAATTAAAAAGATAGTTCACCCAAAAAAATCTTAATTTCAGCACTATTTACCCACATTTAAGTAATTTTATGAGTTTGTCTCTTCTGTTGAAGACAAAAGAAGATATTTTGAAGAATGCTGGTGATATAGGAGGAACAAATACCATGGAAATCAACTGTTGTTAGATTTTTCTGCAACATTCTTCAAAATATCTTTTTTTTTGTGTTCAGCAGAAGAGAGAAACTCATACAATTCCATTTACATTTTATTGGGTGCACTATCCCTTTAAATTCACGATTACCGCTTAAAATAAAGTAACTAAGCTAAAAATCGAGAGGAGTGGATCATGAACTTAAATCTTCATTAAAGAGGCAGTTCACCCAAAAAATAAATTCAGTTTTACAATCCATTAGTTTCATCTGTTGAACACAATGGAGGATATTTTGAAGAATGCTTGACGGGAAAAGCAGCCATAATAAGGTCAACAAACGGCAGCTTTTCCCCCCCAACATTCTTCAAAGAATCTTCTTTTGTGTTCATCAGAAGAACTCATAGATTTTAATACTGAATTAGATTTTTTTTTTTTTTGGTGTGCTGTCCCTTTAAATTCATATTCGACGCTTAAAATAATATAATCAGGCTAAAAATCAAGAGGAGTTGATATGTGGATGAATTTAAAAGGACAGTTCACCTACAAATGAAAATTCAGTATCAAATCTATAAGTTTCTTGTGTTTAACACAAAAGAAGATATTTTGAAGAATGCTGAGGGGGGGGGGGAGCAGCTATAGTAGCAACTAATACTATTGAAGTTGAAACAGCTGTTTTTTCCCCCCAACATTCTTCAAAATATCTTCTTGTGTGTTCAACAAGAAACTCAGACTTTGAAACTTATTTTTTTTGGGTGTACTGTCCCTTTAAATTCACAATCAACACTTAAAATAAAGTAATTAAGCTAAAAATCAAGAGAAGGATTGGAGCATGAGTTTAAAGAGACAGTTCACCCAAAAAATACAATAAATAAATAAATAGAGTTTCTTCTGTCGAACACAAAAGAAGATATTTTGAAGAATGATGGGGGAAAGCAGTCATAGAAGGAACAACAAATACCATGAAAGTCAACGTCTTTTTTCCCCAACATTCTTCAAAATACCTTCTGTTGTGAAACCCACAGATTCGGAACAGAATTAAAAATTTTTTGGGTGTACTGTCCCTTTAAACTCATGATTAAAGCTTTAATTTCTGTCCTCTGTTGAACACAAAAGAAGATATTTTGAAGAATGCTGAAGATAAAAGTACCAACAAGTCAACAGCTGCTTGTTTCTGGCAACATTCTTCAAAATATCTTCTTTTGTGTTCAACAGAAGAGACTCAAAGATTCATTTATTTGGGATGTACTGTCTCTTTAAATTCATGATTAACGCTTGAAATTAACCAACTAGGCTAAAAACGTAGAGGAGGAGTGGATGTAAAAGAATAAAAGTGACGGGACGGAGGGGTTTGTTCATCGGGGCTGCAGGCGGGAGAATCCTCTGCGAGCTTGAGTCGACTGTCTCTGCTGCGCCAGAAAAGACTGTGCAGAAGAAGAGGAAGAGGAGGAGCGCTCGCCGGCCACTCTCTGATGAAGAGCCATTCCCTGAAGAGGAAAACACACGCACACAAGTCTTACAACTGAAGATGAATATTGAGTAGGGGCGGGGCTATCTTCAGCGCATCATTCGCTCATAGCAAACTAACGGTAAGCGAGGGTATTAATATGCAGTTGCTATGGAAATCCTCAGGATGACATCAACAGATATACAGCCACTCCAAACTCAGAAGCCAATGGTCAGACTTTCATCAAAGATTCCCAAAACAAACACTTGTTTTTCTTACGGATTAATTATTCACTTTAAGAGGAACAATGTGAGCTAACAAACTAAACATACATTGTGTTGACACTGGCAATAAGCAGGCAAACTCAAGAGGAAACAGCAGCAATGTGTTGCAAACTACATAATGCCTATGGATTCCACGTGGAGCTGTATTTAAAGGAGAACAACACACTGAGCTAAAGTAGTTTAATTGTAGAGTATGTTAAGGCTTCAATAGTGGTTTTACCTTCTGCTCAGATCCATTGTATTCATCTATAGACCTTTATTAGTGTCGTCAATAGCTGATGTAAATACACTTCATGTGCTCTCTACACATTAAACATAGTTAAAAGGATTTAATACCTAAATAGATTTACGTTACAGGTCGTGATGATTACAGATCGTAATAATTATTTGTTCATTTATTTTGTATACAAGTATAATATATATACAGATTTGTGTTTTGTTTATGCATCTGGAGCTGATGTGTTGCGCGCTGTGAAGCATGCGCAGGTCTCTCTCTCCCTCTAGAGCTGCGCTTGATTGCGGTCCAGCTGTGTTGCGAGTGGGAGCGTATATAAGCTGGTGGAGAGGAACAAAGGACGGATCTTTCTGCTCGGTGCAGGTCTCAGACAGAAAGAAACACAGACTTTGAAACTTCATCTTATTTCTTTTTTTGGGTGTACTGTACCTTTAAATTCACGATCAACACCTAAAATAAAGTAATTAAGCTAAAAACTTAGGAGTGGATCATGAATTTAAAGAGACAGTTCACCCAAAGATTACAATAAATAAATAAATAAATAAAAATCAGTTTCTTCTGTTGAACACAAAAGAAGATATTTTGAAGAATGATGGGGGAAAGCTGTCATAGAAAGAACAAGAAATACTGTGAAAGTCAATGTCTTTTTCCCCCAACATTCTTCAAAATACCTTCTTTTGTGTTCAACAGAAGAAACCCACAGATTTGGAACAGAATTTTATTTTTTTGGGATGTACTGTCCCTTTAAACTCATGATTAATGCTTTAATTTCTGTCCTCTGTTGAACACAGAAGAAGATATTTTGAAGAATGCTGAAGATAAAGTACGAACATGTCAACAGCTGTTTGTTTTTAGCAGCATTCTTCAAAATATCTTCTTTTGTGTTCAACAGAGGAAACATTTAAAACCGCATACATTTTTTTGGGTGTACTGTCATTTAAAATGAATGATTTACGTTTAAATTTCTGTCCTCTGTTGAACACAAAAGAAGATATTTTGAAGAATGCTGAGGGTGGAAAGCAGTCATAGTAGTTTGTTTCGGGGGTGAACTGCCCCTTTTAAATTCAAGATTAATGCTTAATGCCTCAATTTCTGTCTTCTCTTGAACACAAAAGAAGATATTTTGAAGAATGCTGAGGAAAAAGTACGAACAAGTCAACAGCTGTTTGTCTTTTGCAACCTTCTTCAAAATATCTTCTTTTGTGTTCAACAGAGGAAACAGATTTAAAACCGTCATAGGTCATGTATTCTTGCCATAATAATTTTTTCGGTGTACTGTCCCTTTAAATTCATGATTAATGCTTAAATTTCTGTCCTCTGTTAAACACAAACAGAAGATATTTTGAAGAATGCTGAAGATAAAAGTACCAACAAGTCAACAGCTGTATGTTTCTAGCAACCTTCTTCAAAATATCTTCTTTTGTGTTCAACAGAGGAAACACAGATTTAAAACCGTCATAGGTCATTTATTCTTGCCATAATAATTTTTTGGGTGTACTGTCCCTTTAAATTCATGATTAATGCTTAAATTTCTGTCCTCTGTTAAACACAAACAGAAGATATTTCGAAGAATGCTGAAGATAAAAGTACCAACAAGTCAACAGCTGTATGTTTCTAGCAACATTCTTCAAAATATCTTCTTTTGTGTTCAACGGAAGAAGTCAAGAGGTCACAAATCTCCGTCGTCGTTGCCTATCTCCTGCCACAGACTGTTTGTCGAATCAGTGGTGTGATTGACTGGCTTAGTTAGCTGACAATTTCTTCTCTAAACTGCTTGCCGTTAGATCTGAGCCTGTGAGCTTTCTCACTTATTAACACTATGTATTATTTTGGATTTAAATAGAAACTGTGGGTTGGGAATCGATATTTACTTTAAAAACGTTTTCCCCTGGTTTGTTGTAACTTTATTTGGGGTACTTTTTATTTGAGCAGGTAAGTTAGGATTGTTTCCCTGCAAGTTAGCTGTCTTTTTGTTTATTATTTTGGCCTGGATTCACTTCCGAAGAGATGCTTCTAATATCTTTTGTTGTTTGAGAAAATTGTTGTGATCATTGTGAGTTGGGACAGGAGAAGGGGAAAACCCTAAATTGAGTAATGAAGTTTAATTAATTAATTTATTTATTTACACGTTTGTTATTTTCCCCACCAACCCTAGACTAGTCGGGACGTAACAACGTGTTTAGTAGTTTATCAGCTAAAGCACTTTTAAATCAAACTGGTTTATACTTGCACAACTGCCTTAAGCCTGGTTTATACGCGATGTGTCCGCTAGTTGGCTTGAGTGCGCTTGGCGAATGTGACATCATCGATGAGTTTGCGGAGGTTCGCTTTGGGTGCGCTTAACATGATTTCGGTTGGTGGAGAGCATGATTTTTTTTAAAAACTCGAGCGAACAGTGCGCCACGTTTGATTTGAGTAGAATATGAACCACTTTGAGGAGATGTTGTCTAAAACAGTACGACCGTACAGACATCTTTATGATCCGTGATCATAGAGATAACCAGATGATCAATAATTCTTGGCTACAAATTGCAACAGGCGTGGGAAAGGAGAAAGCCTTAAGAGCCAGAAGAGGCCATGGCAAAAGTGGAATTACAGAATAGTTTTGTCCACCAGTCATAGGTTTTACACTAATGTATATATTACAATTTTGAATTTAAAACAATTTAATAGTTACAAAACTGAAATTGAGAAACGAATCATTTCTTTGATAACTGGAGGAGAATGTTTGAATTGGTTTACAATATACTGATGCCCTGTTTCTCTGGGCTTTATTGGTGATAATGGAGAAGAATGTTGGACCATTATTGCCTTTGTAGCATTAAAGTAGAGGACAGAAATTAGCTAGACAGCTATGTGTGAACTGTAGAGCAGGCTAACTCTAAAACAAATCTGTATATTTAAGTGTCCAAGAGATGAACAAAAGCAAGTGATGCATTAAAGTTTGATTAAAAATAAACCTTGAATATAATCATTAAAATAATTTATTAAAAAAAATAGTTTAAAAATATTAAATGATATTAATGATATGAAGCAGTTCTACAAACTTTCTACTTCTCTGTTTATCCATCTGACTTTACGGTCAGTTTCTTTTAACCGCCCCCTGTCATTTTAAAGAATATCACAACGGCGAACGCAGCAAGAACAAAAGCCTGATCTGTTTCGCGAGGTGCGCGCGCAGTCAGCAGAGGTGACGATGTGGCGCCAGGCGAAAGTATGAATCCAGCTTTATAGAGATGTTAAAATGAGTACAATAAACGAAAAACCACAAGAGGGCGTCAATAGCTCGTGCCAAAGCCAAAAAAAAAAAAAATCTGTTACACAAAGCGTGCTCTTTTTTTAATGATCTAGGTGCAAAGTCTAAAGTGCAGGGCACAAAAGCATTAAGGGCGTGTCAGAATCCACTTTTGCTATTTTAAGGACGTAAAAATCCTAAAAGGGTTGAGCTTATTCTCTTAAGAAGTTCTGGGTGTGTTTTGAGAATAAACCAATCATCTTCAAACAGCGGCTTATCATAAGCATCTTATCGATAATTATTTACACGGTTGGCATTAAGATGAACATATAAACGTGATCTGACTAACTTCTAGCAGCTAAATGTGTCTGGGAAAATATTCAAAGGCTTTTATTCTCATAAACTGCGGACGTGAAACCGTCTGACTGCTCTGATTGGCTAAAGCAGACATCTTACGTCAGCACGTTATAGACGTGCACGCGCTCGTCCCCCCCTTTCCCCTTTCCCTTCTAAAATCTATAATAGTCAATGAATATATATAATAGTCAATGAAGATCTGTGTAACTGGTGTAATCTGGCGGTGTTTTCTCACCATGTTGTACCAGGCAGAGATGATGAGCTTCTCCTCCTGGTCGTGTCTGGATCTGGTCTTCTCGAAATCATGCTGAAAACACACAGAGACGAGCACAACATCATGATGAGCACAGTAAAACACACACGCACACACACACACACGATTATAATAATGATGACGAGTGTTTCTGACCTCCAGATGCTGGATCTTCCTGTCTTTCTCCGACAGCTGGTTCTTCAGAGCCTGAACTTCAACAGGAACCGGGTTTAACTTCTGCTTCGGCTCCAGAGTCTTTATCACCTGAAACACACACACACACACACTATACTTATAAACATCAGAACACACCCATGATGCATCCTTTCACTGGTAAGCTCAGAAAATCTTGACTGTCTCCATTGAGGGAGTTTTGTAGGTAATGTCTAGACGGGAGACATCTTGGGACGGAAGTTACCGATAAATAAGTTTACTTAAACCCCTGAAAAGAGCTGTATTTGTGTTTGATATAGTGTTTGTTTAGCCAAGTGTGTGTTCAGTGAATTCATACGATGTCGATTTAGTTTAAAGAACGTAATGGTAAATGTATCTATGTAACTATAGAGACGTTTCCATCTCTACAGGCTGGTTTTGCTTTAATTGGAGTGTATTATACAGTCGAGTATTTATAATCCAGAAAGGCAGTAGAGCTGGATAAAGGTGGACAGCTGTGAGATTGAACAGACCGTGCGAGCTTTCTCCACGTATCTCTTGTATCGGTCCTCCATTCTCCTCATGTCTTCATCTTTCTTCTTCAGGATCTCCTGCAGCTCATCGACCTTTTTCGCCACTGACACACACACACACACACACACACACACACACACACACACACACACACAGGGTTACTTTACAAACAATCCATTAGCTAGAGGTGTAACTATCAGAGCAGAGAGAGGTGAAGGATCAGCATAGGACCGCGAGGCGGCATCGAACTGGGGTCGCAGTGAGCACCGAAGTGCATGTGTCGACGCATTAACCACTACACCACTGGCGCCATTTACTATGACAAGCTTGTTAAATGTTTAAATTTCTTTTTATTTTCAGCTTATTTTTTTAGTACACTTTAGGTTTATTTGGTTTGTTTTAATCTAAATTATTTATTTATTTCCCTTTTTTAATTTTCGCACTTAAGTCTGTAACATGTCTAATAAACTGGTCCCACTTTATATTAAGTATCCTGTGTTGGGATAGAGGTTGGGTTGTGGACAGGTTTGGTGGTATGGGTAGGTTTAAGGGTGGGTTAAGGTGTAAGGGGTGGTCAACAGTGTATTTACAAATGTAATTACAAAAGTTATTTACAGATGTAATTACATACCGGTATTTAATCAAGCCTAAGTACAAAGTAAATACATGTATTTACACAATAAGTACATTGTAACAAACTATTAACTCTTGTGTAAGTACATATTAGTTAAGGCCACTTAATATAAAGTGGGACCAATAAACTATTTAAAATTAAAAAAACACATTTAAACTATTTGTTTAGATAAACAAAACTCTAATAATGATTTTATTTAATAACAAAATACATTAAAATTAGTGCTTTTAAAATAAGTGCATTAATGCATGCGATTAATTTGAAATAATTAAAGCGTTAAAAAAAAAATTACGCATTTAACGCAGTTGCTGTTTTTTAATTTCCTGTTGTGGTCGACGTGCGTTTAACAGGCAAAGAAATATGGATAAGACCAAGGAAGCACTTTTTGAAGGCAAGTTTCAGTATAAAACAATTAATGTCGCATCACCAGGCTCTCCTGAGTTTCATGCGATTTCGGGTGTTTCATTTTTACCTTTCGACTTTTGTTTTAACGGAATTTTGATACCACATGGCGAACGGAAGGAAAAAACTCTGCATTTTGTGATTCGGTGGTCCTTTCGTGGATCGCTGCTTACATGGTAGACTCGTAATAAGAGTATCATCTTAATCATAATAAAATCGGAGTATTGGTTTCCATGAAGTGCCGGATGAAGTCGAGAGCTTTCAAAAGACAGCGCATTCCTTTGCCTTACAGCAGGTGCCCTCCAATGTTTTATTAAGTTTGACGTGTTTCCCCCTTAAACGCAAGCATATGCTTCACGTTGTTGTGTCAGAATCCTTGTGAAATACAGCCATGCTTTAGAGTGCTTAGTTTAAGCAAATTTGATGAACGCGATCATGCGTGTTGAATCTGAAGGGAGTCACTCCGGCTGCGCTGTCCTGCGCGTCTCTCTCTCTCTCACTCTTTGTGTATGTACTAAATAAAAAAAAAGTTACGAATTGCCGTGAGATTGCGTTACACTCTCAGCTCACATCATTCAAAAGAAAAGGTCCACATTGTCCCCCGATAATGTCAACAGACTGGACTGTTTAAGCAACTGGCTGCATGTAAAGAAGGACAACTCAACTCACAGCAATACAACTTTACAATGACTGCAATTGTTTGTATTCAATACTTTATTATTATTACTATTATTATCATTTTCCAGTGTCCTGTATTTTGGCATTTTTGCAGTCCACTTAGAATCCAACATGGAAATCAATGTTTTCTTTATTGATATTGATTGTTTTGAAATTTAAATGTTATTAACATGCCTGTGTTTTTATTTCTGTAATAAATATGGCTGTCATGCCAGGATCTTGATGGGTTTGTTGTTTACATGAAGAAATCTGTGTTACAAGTTAAACAAAAATTCAACAATTATAATTTGAATTTAAATAGCTTTTGTTGAAAAATTACAAATTTTAGTCCAAATGTGATTTATCGCGATTAATAAAAAAATAAAAGTGTGATTTAGTTAAATTTTTTTTTTATCGATTGACAGCACTAATTAAAATAAACAAAATAAAAAAGCCGTCAGAGGCAGATAAAACTAATAATAAACAAAAATAATTTCCAATAAATGTAAAAATATTATAATTATATTCATTTATTCATCTTCTTTTCCGCTTAGTCCCTTTATTAATCCGGGGTCGCCGCAGCGGAATGAACCGCCAACTTATCCAGCGCATTTTACGCAGCGGATGCCCTTCCAGCAGCAACCCATCTCTGGAAATCATCCATACACTCTCATTCACACACAATGACTTTCAAATGTGCTCCGACATATGTTTGTGTACAGAATAAATAAAAGTGGGGATAACACACACACACACACCCCTGAGGTGATCCGGTTGAGGAGCACAGGCTTTCAGACAGGGAACTATTTGTTCACACTCTTTGCGTTCTATTGGTCGAAAAGTCTAAAATCCAGCCAACAAGATTGTTGCTTAGTTGAAAATGATCTAAAAGTCTCTAGGTTCAAATATGATTATATAAAGCTGAAGAAAAATCTAGAAATAAGAGATGAGTCTTCTATTTGTGCTCGTCATACCCTTATACAATTCAAATTATTGCATAGAGTATATTGGACTAAGGCAAAAATATCTAAAATTAACCCTGGTTTTGATCCAATTTGTGATGGGTGTCGACAAGCTCCAGCCACTCTTCTTCATACTTTCTGGCTTTGTCCAGCGCTAAGCACTTTTTGGGCCTCAATTTTTAAATCAATTTCTGAATGCTTTCTTTTAGATACTGAGCCATGCCCCCTAGTAGCATTATTTGGACTTAACCCTACAAATGTTTCTTTGTCATCTACACAATCAAATGCACTTGCCTTTTGTTTAATAATTGCTAAAAGGCTCATAACACTAAACTGGAAAAATCCTTCCCCACCCAGTTACATACATTGGATGCATGATCTGATGCAGTCTATGCAAATAGAAAAGATTAGATATACAGTTTGCGGTAATACTGAACAATTTGACACTATCTGGCAACCCTTCCTCTTACACTTTAAAAATAAAAATAATAAATAAATAAGCATGTATGCGTATATGTATGCAACTATATAGCTGACTTATTTTCCCTGCCCCTGGCATAGTTATAAATGGAGTGTTTTTTTTTTCTTTCTTTTTGTTTTTTAATTTATTTATTTATTTTTTTTTAAATATATATTATTATTATTTTATTTTCTACTGCTGTACCCTTTGAGCATTTGTATTTATTTATTCTCTGTACTGTTGTTGTTTTTTTGTTGTTGTTTTTCCTTGATGCATGAATATGTAATTATATCGTTTTATTCAGAGAGAAAGAAAACGTGAGCAAAATTGTATTCTACCACCACATTGGAGCAGTTGATGTCTAATGATTCTGTGGATCTGATGCTGTGGCTCTCTGACTAACATATTTCACTAAAAAACTGAATTAAACTAAATAGGAGATGAGCATGAGCCCCCCTTACCCTCAAGATGCTTGAAAACTAAAGGCAAGGCAAGTTTATTTATATAGCACATTTCATACACAGTGGCAATTCAAAGTGCTTTACATAAACAGGAAATAAAAAGACAAGGTTAGGAACATAAAATGCAGACAATAAAAAGTATTAAAAGCAGATAAAAACAAATTAAAATGAGTTAAAATAGGTTATAAAAAGATGAAAAAGAAAACGAAAAACATGATTGTGCAATCTGTCGGACGCAGCACAGTGCTCATTCAGTAAAGGCACAGCTGAACAGATGTGTTTTCAGTCTCGATTTGAATGTGCCTAATGTTGGAGCACATCTGATCATTTCTGGAAGCTGATTCCAGCAGCGAGGAGCATAGTGGCTGAAGGCTGATTCACCCTGCTTTGACTGAACCCTTGGAATTTCTAGTTTATGAGATCCTAAAGATCTGAGTGATCTGTTAGGTTTGTATTCAGTGAGCATATCTGTGATGTATTGAGGTCCTAGGCCATTTAGTGATTTATAGACCAGTAATAATACTTTAAAATCTATTCTGAATGTAACTGGCAGCCAGTGTAGAGACCTGAGGACAGGTGTGATGTGCTCTGATTTCCTGCTTCTGGTCAGAATTCTGGCTGCAGCGTTCTGGATGAGCTGCAACTGTCTGACTGTCTTTTTGGGAAGGCCAGTGAGGAGGCCGTTACAGTAATCCACCCTGCTGCTGATAAAAGCATGAACAAGTTTCTCTAAGTCAGCAGAGTGATTATGGCATCTTCATTTGGACAGTATGTTTGACGGCGTCTATCAAAACAAGGATGCTATAAAATACATTTTATACTGAGTTATTACCTGGAAATTTCTGTGGTTTAATATTATGAATGGTGCAGTGGGTCATACCTCAGTTAGTGGTGAGACGACTCGATGCCAACAGTCGCTCGGCGAGTAAACAAATATAACGACTGAAAATACATACAACATAATAATGCTGTACAGTAACGTGTTGTTTGTTTCGGATGGTGTGCTTTGTCTGGCTGATTCCCGCTGAACTGGGCGGGTTGCGTGATGTTTGATTTGTGGGTTGTTCTGGGGGCGGGGTTTGCGAGCTGCGGCATGAGCTACTAGCCCGGCAGTGGAAACGTGACATGATTTCGGCCTCACTGCTCATGCTCCTGGGCTATTGGTCCGGCCTAGCACGATAACAGCCCTAGCTCGGACTGGCCCGACAGATGCGTTTATTGTTTTCAGAATGTGTGTGTGTGTTTTTCTTACTGTTAATGTCCACAGGGGGCTCCAGATCATCAATGACCTCTCGCTTCTTCTGCAGGTCAGAATGAGCCTCGTGCAGCTTCTCTCTGCACAACATACACACATTAACACAACATTTAACAAAGAGTAAAGAGAGAAAGAGAGAGACTCACAGATGCTCCTCCAGCTTCTTCTTCAACAGTGACGACTGTAAAAAACACACACACACACACACACACACACACACACACACACACACACACACACACACACACACACACACACACACAGAAATGAGACGCTAACAGACCATAATGATAACACACACACAGTAACATCACTGATCACAACAAATACAGTCACAACGGACCAATCACAGAGCAGACGGGCCGGTTGGCGGTACTTACGATGACCTGCGGTGGCCGGCAGACGATTGGTGGATTAGGAGAGGTGGGCGGATAAAAACAGACGAGCAGGCGTTAATTTCAGCACCGCACACAAAACGGTTACAGATTCCACACATAAACCAGACAAGAGGAGATGGAGATGATCAGGAGACAATAATCCAATCACAAAACAGATCAGAGGTCAGTCAGTGCTGTCTGAGGAGATACGCCTCTGCAACCACACATTAACTCCATATTTAAGAGCAAATTACTGCAGAACTGGACTTGCACAGGGATTTGATTGTGTTGTGTTTGAATAAATTAGTCTGTCGCTGATTTCTGAAGTGAATTTTGAAGAATAAAATAAAATTAACTAATAGTTTTAATAGTTTTATTTAATGATAATTACCTTGGTTGTGTAATATGAATACACACTAAAATTAAATGATGATAATAATAATAATAATAAGTTTATATACTCTAAACTTATTAATTTATATTTTTAATATACAATGTATTTATTTATATATTTAATTATTTTATTTACATATAACTTTATCTTTATTCATTTAATTAATTAATTAATTTATATCTAATTTTATTTATTTGTTTAATTTATTTATATCTAATTTTATTTATTTATTTATATATTTTTAATTAGTTAATATAATTAGATATGATTTTATCTATTTATATGTTTAATTTATTTATATCTAATTTTATTTATATATTTTTAATTAGTTAATTTAATTATATATGATTTTATCTATTTATTTATATGTTTAAATAATTTATTTATATCTAATTTTATTTATTTATATATTCTTAATTAGTTAATTTAATTATATATGATTCTATCTATTTATTTATTTATTTATATGTTTAAATAATTTATATCTAATTTTATTTATTTATTTATTTATATATTTTAATTAGTTAATTTAATTATATATGATTTTACCTATTTAAATACATTTAATTAATTTATTTATATCTAATTTTACACATTCATTTACTTATATATTTTTAATGAATTCATTTAATTACATATAATTTTATCTATTTATTTATGTTTAATTAATTAATTTATTTATATATTTTTATATATATTTTATAATTTTATGTATATAATTTTAAATAATTAAGTTGATTATTTATATATAACTTTATTTATGTATTTATTTATTTATTATATCCAAATGACCAAACACACTTAAGTCTGTTCAGACTCAATAAATGTTTGCACATTTTTTTCTGCTTGGAATGCTTTTAGTAAATGTTTCCTCAGTTAAAGTTTGTTGAGTTTTGCATTTGTTGATAAATGTGTGCATCACTGGTTTCTGACATGGATTTTGACAACAAAATTAATGTAATCTTTATCTCAGTTAACTGTTTTAATACCTTTGTTATGTATCGAATACACAATCTTCAAAATGTTTTGTTTAGCATTTAATAACTGTAGGATATTTGTTAATTTAATAAAAAGATATTAAAGACTTTATATAATTTAATATTATATTTTAAATAGTGCTGGGCAAAGATAAATCAGAATTTAAGCGCATCCAAAATAAATTAAAAAAAGTTTTTGTTGACAATATACGTGTGTGTGAATTATATATAATTATTGTGCACATAATATGTTTATTTTGGATGCGATTAATCACGATTTATCTTTGCCCAGGAATAATTTTGACAGCACGTTTTAGATTCATTGAACACTTGAGGCTGGTAATTTGTCATCTATGATGTTTATACTGAGATATTGCATTCAGATATTGTACTGAATCTAATATTAGGGTATGGAGCATCCCATTTCTGCAGAATGATGCCAAAGTTATGAATCCTGCAAAATAAAAGCAGCAAGTGTAGATGCAGGAGTCACTTTAGTCATTTTAAGCAATATCAATTTGATGAGAGGCAGATCCTCCAGCAGACAGCAGTGTGTGTGTGCACATGTGTGAACTCAATGTCAGATGAGTGATTTCATCTCAGACACAATCATCACCACAGTGTGTGAAAGAGTTCATTGATTTAGTCATGGTCTGTGTGTTTTTGTGATATATCAGGGCAGTTTTGTGACATAAAGCCATGGATCTGACACAGGTATTATGAAACGGGGTGGATTATGAGGACATTGCTGGTGACTTTATTTCTCAAAGCGCTTATAAATCACACAGAATGAGTTTTTCGCTTGCTGTGAGGGTTGGGTTTAGGGGTAGGGTGGGGTTAGGGCAATAGAAAATACGGTTTGTTCAGTATAAAAACAATTGTAACCTATAAAATGTCCTCACAATTCACATAAACAAATCAGTGTGTGTGTGTGTTTGTAAACTCAACATCAGATGAGCAATTTGGTCTCAGACACAATCATGACCACAGTGTGTAAAAGTGTTAATTGATTCAGACGTGGCCTGTAGGTGTGTGTGTGTGTGTGTGTGTGTGATACTGACGTCCTCGTTCCTGCTGTCCTGCTCCTGTAACGCTCTCTGCAGCTCCTCCACCTGAGCGGACAGGTCTGAGATCTGCTGCTGACTCAACCTGACCAACACACAGATGACATCATCATCATCATCATCACCCATGCACTGATGTACAAACCCGATGCCAAAGTTGGGACACTGTACAAAATGTGAATAAAACCTGAACGCATTGATGTGGAAGCTCCAAATCTCAATAGTTTATTCAGTATTGAACACAGATGACATGCCAAATGTTTAAACTGCGAAAATGCATAGTTTTAAGGGGCAAATAAGTTGACTTTATATTTCATGGCATCAGCACAATTCCAAAAATTGAGACAAGACCATGTTTACCACTGTGAGGCATCCCCGCTTCTAGGTGCTCGACTGTCTTAGGTCTTCTTTGTCGCATCCTCCTCTTTATGATGATCGAAATGTTTTCTATGGGTGAAAGATCTGGACTGCAGGCTGGCCATTTCAGTACCTGGATCCTTCTTCTACGCATCCATGATGTTGTAGTTGAACCTTTCAGCATTGATAGTGCCTTTCCAGAGGTGTAAGCTGCTCATGCCGCAAGCACTCATGCAACCCCATACCATCAGAGATGCAGGCTTATGAACTGAGTGCTGAGAACAACTTGGGTTGTCCCCGTCCTCTTTAGTCCGGATGACATGGCGTCCCAGTTTTCCAAAAAGAACTTCAAATTTTGATTCGTCTGACCACAGAACAGTTTTCCACTTTTAAATAAGGCTTGGGCCAGAGAAGACGCCTGCGCTTCTGGATCATGTTTGAATATGACTTCTTTTTTGACCTATAGACTTTCAGCCGGTGAATGGCACGGTGGATTGTGTCCACCGACAATGTTTTCTGGAAGTAGTCCTGAGCCCATATCGTGATTTCCATTATAGTAGCATTCCTGTTTGTGATGCTGTACCGTCTTAAGGCCCGAAGATCACGGGCATCCGTTAAATTTTTCCGGCCTTGACCCTTACGCACAGAGATTGTTCCGGATTCTCTGAGTCTTTGGATGATATTATGCACTGTAGATGGTGATAACTTCGAACTCCTTGCAACTTTTCGCTGAGAAACTCCTTTCTAATATTGCTCCACTATTTTTTGGCGCAGTATTGGGTACATTGGTGATCATCTGTACATCTTGACCTTTAATCCGCTTGTTAAGTGTGACGTCACGAGAAGCGGCTTCAGGGTCCAAGCGCTCTATTCAACTGATTGGGGAGACTCATGAAATGGTAATGATAAACGTTTACAAAGCGATTTAATACTTGCGAAAATCACGATCGCAATATATACGTCCATGCCTAATATCCGATAGCAAGTAAGTGATTTATTTTTTTATAAATTGTTAAATTTTTGTTATGCAGCAAGCCCAAAGATTGTTGTGTACACTATGATTTTATATAATATTAACTTTAATGAGTGATAGGAATAAAACGTGATCATAAACTAATGATTTCTCCCCTCAAATGAATGACGGCTTGGACCCGGAAACCGTATACAAACGTAACAAACACGTCACCACTTAACAAGCGGATAGGAGACACTCCCACTCTGAGAGGCTCTTTTTAAAATCCCTATCAAGTTGCCAATTGAGCTAATAAGTGGAAAATTGGTCCTCCAGCTGTTCCTAATATGTACATTTGACTTTTCTAGCTTATTTTCTAGTTATTGCTACCTGTCCCAACCTTTTTGGAATGTGTATCTATCTTGAAATCCAAAGACATGTGGTACAGGTGAATTGGGTAGGCTAATATGTCCATAGTATATGAGTGTGCGTGTGAATGAGTGTGTGATTGTTTCCCAGACATGGGTTGCGGCTGGAAGGGCATCCGCTGCGCGCGTACTGAATAGCTGTGTTGTCGCGCAAGTTCTTATCAGCTGTGTTGTCACGCGAGTTCTTATCAGCTGTGTTGTCGCGCGCGTACTGAATAGCGGTGTTGTCGCGCGAGTTCTTATCAGCTGTGTTGTCGCGGGAGTTCTTATCAGCTGTGTTGTCGCGCGAGTTCTTATCAGCTGTGTTGTCGCGCGAGTTCTTATCAGCTGTGTTGTCGCGCGAGTTCTTATCAGCTGTGTTGTCGCGCGCGTACTGAATAGCGGTGTTGTCAGCACACTGTTCAGATTGATGCAGACATGAGATCTCTATCTTACTCATGGTTTGTCCTCTCAAGTGGGGGAAAGACAATGCACAACGTTACTCACTGCTGTCAACCTGGGCCAAGTCATATCTCTCTGTCCCAGAAACCTCAGTCCCAAATGAGAGGGGTTTTTTCTGTTGCAGGGGACATTGTAAATGCCCAGAGATACCAGCTTTTACCAGATTATATTTATATGATAATTTTCCTTTAAACCCATCTCTATCTAAGTGAGTGAGTGATTAAATGTTGAATGTGATGAGTTTTCAACAATACTAAATTGAAACTTTATTTTTTTTACATGGTTTAATATTTTTTTGTTATTAAAATTGAAGTTCCTGTTTCAAAGCTTACAGATAGATGGCTAATTTGTATGTCATTGACACTTTTGGCTCTTTTTTGGAGTATTTTCATAAGTTTTGTTTTTTCCTGTAAATGATTCAATAAATACCGTACCGTGACATTCATACCGAGGAATTACCGTACCGTGAAATTCTGATACCGTTACATCCCTAATATATATATATATATATATAGGGGTGTCAAAATTAATAGTTTCTTCGGTGCACCGCGATGCAGACGCGGACAATTCGGTATCGGTTCAGTAATAATCATAACCGGTTATTATGTACTGACGTCATTTATCTCATATGCGCTCTGTCACGAGCGAGTATTTACAACGCTCCAACTACTTAAAACTCATTAACTGCACAATTTCACTGCATGTGTGTTTGCTGGATCAGTTTTTCATTGACATTTACAGCAGAAGCCCCTATTTTACTGCGATTGACAGAATGAAAGTACTCCATTTCTCTCTCTCTCTCTCTCTCTCACTTACACACACACACACACTGTGGCCCATTTGAGTCTTGATACTTCTGAATACAGAAACGAGCGCGTGCCTGCAGAGTTTTTTCCACCGTGTCTATCATGGATCATCTGTGATCGGCGCTGCCGCCTGCCGCTTATCAGTGTCACTTATCTGTGAAAAGCGCAGCGCACAAGAGCCAATCGCAACCTTTTTTTGTTGAGGGTGTGACCAATCAAAGGGGTGTAAGAGAACTAGACAATATATTATATTAAATGACAAAATTGTATTAAAATTTGTATATAAATATATTCATACATTTTAATACAAGAACTGCTGCTGTGAAGAAAATATAAAACTGTGTATGAAAAGCACCGTCAATGCACCGTGATATCAAATTGAACCGAATATATATATGTATATATATATATATATATGTGTGTGTGTGTATATATATATATATATATATATATATATATA